GTAAGCAACAATACTCATGTTCCCATTTATTATTATTTTCATTAGAATGTTGGAATTCGAGAATGTGAAATACATTCTTGTCAACAAGAATAAGATTGCATTTAATGATATTCAAAAAACTGATATATTCATCTTCACCAGTTCAGTACTGGGCAGAATAATATGGCGGAAATAATAACATATCTTTAAAAATATAATGAATACTGAAATCCCTTGTGGATTTTAATAAAATAGTATACCCACTTAGGCGAGTGTTTTCATAGCGGCCGAAAAAAATCTTCCCTCCCTTCTTCCTCTTATGTTACATCTCCCTATATAATTACAGAAAAATGTTATTAATTCCATTTGCATTTTATAAAACTTTATTTGGTTCCGAACCTCGGACCTTTCTTTACAACTCCTGTGCCTTATTTCAAGACCACCAGAACATCTATGCTACTGCTTTGTGCGATCCTCCTCATATTCTAGACTTGGTTCATAGCTGCAGAAAAATCGTATTTATTTGTTCACTTTTCAATTTCTATTGACAAAAGACACTAATACTACGCCAATGTCTTACCCACGAACCACCAGATCTATACAAATTTACCTTCACCTTCCTCATATACTACGACTTGCTTCCTACATGCACAAATTTCTTAATTTTTTATTTTCACAAGAATAGTCATGTCTTCGAACCACGTATCTTCTAAACCATACGTCAGTGTCTTGACATAAAATTTCATTTCTTTTGTTCCAGCACTCACACTGCGTCTCAGTCACATCCAGACCTCGCTGCAGCGTTCTAAGAACATACTCTTCTTTGCTCTCAGACGCATATACATAGGTGCCAGCAGCAAACACACCTAGATATACACCAGTATTTTTGAGGAGCGGGGAGGTTCATTTATACATACGCTGTACAATGCGTGGCACTCCTTTTCTCTAGGTGCAAACGTTTTGCCTTCGACCGGAACTCTGAATTTTCTCGCGGCAAACATGAGCTAACAGGCTTGATTATACTATGGGAAATTTAATTTGAACTTACACGCACTGTTATATGGTCCCTGGCCGCAGAGAAATCTCCACTGCCTCTTACAGCCGCCCGCCTGTACGTTTTTTTTCCTTGGCACTACAGCCTCAGTGGGCCTAGGCCTACCTCCATGAACTTCTCCGTTCACTTCGGTTTTTCTAGATCTTACACATTCGGTAGGACTCCTTGGGCGGGTGATGAGCTCGTCGCAAGGCCTCTACCTGTACACAAACACAGAAAAACGCACACACACAAACTAAACATCCATACCTTGAGTGGGATTCGAACCCACGATCCCGGTTTCCAAGCGAGGGAAGACAGTACATGCCTTAGACCGCTCGGCTACCGTGACCGGCGCCTGTACGTTTACGGCCATGAAATTCTTTATTGCCTACAGGTACGGAATTCTACACTGATGGCATACGTCAGGACCAAGTTCACTGTGCTGACCCTCTGCAAAGAGCTGCTCAGTGCCCGAAGAAATTACTATTTCATGGCACCCGCGACCTCATTGCATTGTTCTCGCAGAACTCATTGTCCCTTATTCTGAACTACACAACTACACAACTCCTGCGCTAGCTTCCCAGGCCTCGTCACCTGGTATTTGTGGTGGACACAAAGTGGCGCTAGGACAGATTTTCTCCAAGTACTTCGATTTCCCCTGCCAATCTTCGTTCCACCAATTGCTCTAAATTCACCTTCATCTGGGATTGGTACAATAAGCCACAGAAAGGCTCGTAATTTTGAACGAGTGAGTATTTAATTATCATCAGTTCTTCGCCTAGTACAGTCCGTGCCATGCAGCTTGCTCAAAAATCAATCGAAAATTTATAAGCACACAGAAAAAGCAGCAGCTTATAAACCCGGACTTAGCAGCTGAGTGCAGATAAGAAAATTATTTTCCAACTCGTCATCGTTAATCCGAAAGGGAATTAGTGCTTGTCTTCTTACCCTCGAAGTCTTGTTCCCAAAAGCACCCATAAGTACCACCGACAGCACAGGTAATCCTTGCACGGGCTCCCTTTGAAGTTTGAGCTTCCGATAAATTTCTTCTGATAATACCGATACCTGTGACCCCGTATCGATTATAAAGTCGCAACTAAAGTTTCCAAATGCCACTCTAAGGCGCGGACAAGTTGTCAGTTCTCTGGCATTAATTAAGTAAACATTTGCGCCGTCACAATTAATTTCGTTCTCAATATTATATTTAAGCATCCTGTTGCACTCCATACGATACATGATACCAACTCCGTCTTCAGTGCAAACCATATATTGTAGGTCTTTCGTTTTGCTCTCCTTTACACACTACATGTTTCGGCTACAAACGGCCATCATCAGGTGTATTACTCATGTATCTGTCACACTGCACTTAGTTTAACATTTAAAATTTAAAAACACAGGTTTTCTTGATTGTTCTTTTCGTCATTGTTATCAAAATCTACTTCGTTGATATCTGTGTTATTTACACACGTCAATTTTGATTTCTCTGAATTAGCACTTATAAAATTTTCAGTTCTAATTTTAAAATCTTTTCAATTTTCTTCTAAATTTTAAAATTTAAAATTGTCAGGGTTACTCGCCCTATGTCTATAGTGCTGCAGAGGTGACTTCTTGTTTCTAGTACTGTACCGGTGTTATTCTGTGTAGTCTCTCTGTGTGCGTGCCGCTGCTTGTCTTTACTATGTGTTCGTTCTCGCCTGAAGCTGCCAATTGTTTATATGGATTATGTCGCTCGTTCGGGTGTTTTTATTCTGGCATCCAATTACATCGGTCACTGTTGCCGTGCCATTGTGCGCCATATTGGTCGTTATAGTTCCCAACTTATGTTTTCCTCCTGCTTGTCTTGTCGATCTCTCGTTTCCGTGCCGTACGAAGGGGTGGGCACGGCCGCAGCTTGATTCCTCCCACCCACCGACTCGTGATTCCGGTTTTCTCTGCGATCGCTCCCTCAACCTTGCCACTCCTGGTTCCTGTACGCGTTGCGATCATCAGGTCCGCTTTCATAACTCCCCGCGTGCCTTTGGTTCCTATTCCAGCTCCCTCGGTGGTCATCTCATGGGTCCGAACGCTGCCTATTGTAATTATCACGCTGTCCTTGGTATACGGGTCGTCTCGGCTCTAGCGTCTCCGGGTTCTCTTCGAGACTCATCACGTCGGTTAGAAATGCCGCCGCGTCCTGCAGAGTCCGTGGTTTGGTAACAATCCACGCTTTCCTTACACTGATAGGGTAATGTTCTTTAAAGCGATTAGGAATTCTAAATTAGACATCGAGGGTTCTAAGTACTTGGTCTTGACAGCGCATTTCAACAAGTGATCGCCGTAACTCAACCCTCCTCGCGGATCGTACCGGTATTGATATATCTCTAATCTAACCTTGGCATGACATTGTAGGCTACAGAATTTGTCTAGGAAGACATCCCGGAAGTCATCGAATGTCTTCAGTTGATCCCATATGGCGTCAGCTCAGGTGGTGACTGAGATGTCGTTCACAGAGCGTCTCGCTACCGCTAAGTGAAGCGGTGGAGGGTCATTCTTAATCTGTATAAATTCTGTTAAGGCATTTAATTGGGCTTTGGCATTCTGCTCGGGTAGTCCTTCTAAAGTCGGCAAAGCTAGATCAAGGGTATCATTCAGAGTCCCTTTGACAAATCTCAAGTTGTTATTATTGCCTGTCAGTTCCTTACTGGAATCATTATTGAGGGAACAAGTCTGCTGCCTTCCTCCTAGACCTATTTCATTTAATACTTAATTTGCGGGCCGCCGTTTGCGTGGCCGTTGACTTTACTGGTATTTATACAAGAACTCGACGAGGCATGTTCAACCGAGGTGTCAGTTTGACAGCTGTCAGGCATGACGTCACTAGTGTTTGCATCGTTACCGTTACCACCCTCCTGATTTGAGTTCTGTAAGAGTTCTGGCTGGCCCCTTAATTCGTCACACCCGACGTGTCAGTTCGACAGCTGTTACTATAATATTAATCTTCTAAATTGCCGAACTTACTTTAATCTGATGCTGTTCCGTCATGACCCTCAAATCTGTCACTCTGGTCTCGAACGTGGACATCCTCTCACACATATCATGCGGCTGTAGTTCTATCTGTGCTTGAACTGCTGTCACGTCACTGCGCAGAGACTCCATGTTGCTGTTGCTCTCAGATTTATTATGTCGCACCACTTCGGTCAGCGCTTGGATCTGGTCGTGTGTGCGCTCAGATACGGCTTTAACTTCGTTGTTCACGGACTCTATCCGTTGGTTCATTTTACATTCAGAGTCCCTCGCGAATGCGGCCAGCATTTCACGCACGTCTTCTTTAATACTATTTTCCATTTTACTCCCGTTTTTTCATAAGTCATTTTCCATTTTCATTTTTCTGTCCTCCAATTTTTCCATAAAGATTAACAACATGGCCTGTATGTCTATTGTACTATCATTCTCCCCCTTTTCTACACTTTTCTTCTGTTGGCTTCGAGTCTGTAACTCGGGTTCTGTCTCCACTATTTGCCCACTCTTCACGTTTACTCCTTCCTCTATTTCTCCCCCATTCTCTGTCACTGATACCTTCCGTCACTTCGATTTCTTCTTCGTTATCTATGATTGTCTTCTGATTTTTAAGTTTACCACGGGTTTCCATGTTCTACTGTCCGCAACTCGTTCACACTTATTGTTAATATAACTTAGTCCAACTAACCGTGCACGATATATTTGTTCACTTTTTCAGTCCACGAAGTTCCTCTTCTCCCTTGATGCTTCCGTGATGTCCCGCTTACAGACTCCCGGTCTCCTCCGCTGTTACGTGCCCAGGTTGGAAGCGCCAGTTCTCACTGCAGCCGACCTCCGACGTACAGCCGCCACGACTGTTGCTCGAAATGAAACCTTTGTCCCAGGGATACAGGGGCTTCGGATACAGAAAGGGGAACACATTTAGGGGTTATGATTTACACGGTCTCCAGAACACGCACCGTGTTACACTTACTGTCACTCTTTACATAAGTCCTTCAAGCTTGCCACTCCGTCTCTATTAACATTTTTGGCACTGGTCACATCAGTTTCTTCCAGTTTACCGACCGTACGCACTCGCTAACCCCGACCGTCTCCTAATTCTCTCCTCATCGTTTTCTTGCAACTAAAGTCCACCTCTCAACACAATTAAATAATTTTAGCGAGGGACGTACGGTTACAACGCAGCTATTTAATTACTTGAGACCAAACTAATTCAGCGCGAGTTAACAAGAAAATATGAAATAAATCTGTAGCGCCATCTGTGGAGTAAAATCTGAACACTCGAGAGTAAAACCTCATGGAAAGCCACGAAGTGTAGTTAAAAATGTAGCTTCTTAGATTCTAATTATCTCCCCTATTGGGCTGTGCAAACCGCTCCTCTGAAGAATTCATTTTATAGGGTAGGGTAGGAGGTTCCTAGCTTCCAAGCTAAACACATCCCAAAGAGCCCAAACAATCTGTGATCTCGATAGGTGTATTATGATCGATTCCAAATATTTTCGATCTGTCTTGTTCATGTAGGATGCGTAGAGATGGCAGTTCTGCATGTTTCTCCTTCCCCCTATACACGTTTCTTACCCCTGATCATGATGGACCTTTCTTTGACAATGGAGTATCGAATTGTGAGCACTTGTCTTCAAATCATACCTGAGCGTATCTTGCCAAATAATGATGAACTGTTGCAGCCGCACAATAAGGCTCAGTAACGCACCTAATGTAAGCTGGAAAACAAAATGTAATGTGAACAACTTAAAAGATATTCCAAGCATTTAAAATAACAGTAATTCCCATGCTGTAGAATCTATAGCAATGTTTCTTGCAGTGTATGCCTCAATGGAATTCAGGTTAGTTAGTTAGTTAGTTAGTTAGTTATTGGAGAGGGTGGGTTTCCCCATGCACTTAGACCAGTATTGGTCCATTGTGCTTCCCCTCTATGATATTCTACCAGTCTCTATACCCTACCGATAATGGTGCGTACCATCAGTCCCGCCGAGCAAGCGAGTTCGGCCTCCACTTGCTTTGGCAGTGTCTGTAATGCTTCCCCCATCTATCAGAGGCCTTAGAGACTGCTGTTGGGCGGGAAACGTCCTGGAATTTGGCTCAGTGATCTCCTTTGGAGATATGAGGTTCTTTTACGTGCCGTAAAGTTACGACACGGGACACACGGCTTAAAGTCCCTCCCGGAGGACTTGTTCCCTGAATTTTTCCGCCCTTAAAAATTCGATGACTTCCGCTGGGTATTTGAACCCGCGTACCACGAGTCATGAGGTGGGAACGTTACCTCTAGACTATGGAGGGCGCTTGGAATTGAGGTTAGTTATTTTCTGATTAGACAAGTACAGAACTGGAATCAGCATATTCTCTATGTCAATGTACACTTTTCTTCTCAAGTTTCTATATTCACTTTTTTCTTGTGATATTAATATCCACCATAATGCAGTTCTTCCATTGTTATATTCCTTCTTTGTTTGCAGGTTTTTTTTTGTCTATTGAATTATGGACATTGGCGTCAAAAGTTAATATATAGAACAGTGAGAGAAAAGAGAGCCATTTTAGAGTAAAGTATATGCTGTGCTCTTAGTGCTGTGTGCCAGTATATGCCTGTGTACTCTGTACTGCACTGTTAGAGTATAAACACAAGCAACTGATATTTATTCAGCTGGTCTGGAAATTTTCTGTTTGTATGGAATCTACAGGTTCATCAGAATGTTTGCAAAAACATATATTTGGAATCCTACACTGAGTTAATTCAATCTAAAAACAACAGAGACAACAACAACAACAACATACAAACAAAAAAACTCCGTGGTTTTAGTCCACAAGAGAACTATACCGACTGAGCGACCGCCGCTTGTCGGCGAAGTTAGTGCCAACTTTAGCAGATCGAGGGTGCCGCGCGGTCAGCGCAATGGATCCCCACGGCCGTTAATCTCTGTTTTCTAGACCGAAGCCGCTGTTTCCTTGAAATAGCTCCTCCATTATCCTCACGAGGCTGAGTGGACCCCGTTCCAGACCCACTACTTCTCAGAAAATCTGGTAGCGCCGGGAATCAAACCCGGACCTCTGGATCTATAGCCAGGAACTCTGACCACTAGACCCCAGAGACGGTCAACATATACGTTTTTTATTTTTCCAACCTGATTTCCATATTTGAATTATTATTTTTGTTGTTATTGTCATTGTAAAAAAAGTAAAGCTATTCCTGTAGCAACCATAGGGTTGTCAGACGTTGAGGGTCCCATATTATCTAGACAATCGGCTCAAAGATGGCGGTTAGGTTGTCAGCCTTACGCCCCGGCCGCGCTTTACTCCCCAGGAAAATTATTTATTTAATTCCTGGTACTCATTTCTGTTAAAGGCATTATTATTGGTGCTGCTGCTGTTGCGGTCTTCCTTGTTAATTTTATACCAGGTTTCTGACAGGTACTGTAATTCATAACAATCTCAACTGCTGCTGCTGCTACTACTATGTTACGACTACTACTACTACTACTAATACTACTACTGATGCTACTACTAATGCTGCTGCTGCTGCTGCTGCAGTGTCAGAAATAACATATTCCAAAATAAACCAAAAGGTTTCCCAGTCCTATTATACCAATTACAGGAATAAACAGCTGTCTGTAAAGTGATTGGCCAGTAGTGGAGTTTTATTTGCAGTGAAGAAATGGATTTTCGCGTCCTCCACTGGGACCACTCACCTCCAACGGGATCTGGAATACATTGTACTTTATCACCACTTCTGATATCTTCAGTGTGCACTGCTTAGACACAAAGCTAATTTTAACCTTTCTACTGTGCTGGTCATACCACTGGTGTTACTTACTTACTTACTCATGGAGCTGAGCCCTTCTGGAGGAGCCGCCAATTCTGCAGCTACTCAAGAATTTCCCAGCATATTATGGAACCCGAAGGTTCATTACCGTGTTCATAAGAGCCCTCCACTGGTCCCTATCCTGAGCCAGATCTATCCAATCCACACAATCCCATCCTATTTCTCTAAGATCCATTCTAATATTGTCCACCCACCTACGCCTTGGTCTTCCCTGTGGTCTCTTTCCTTCTGGCTTTCCCACCAATATCCTATACGCATTCCTCGTCTCCCCCATTCGTGCTACATGACCTGCCCATCTCATCCTCCTTGACTTGATCATTCTAATTATACTTGGAGAAGAGTACAATTTATGAAGCTCCTCATTATGCAGTTTTCTCCAACCTCCTGTCACTTCATCTCTCTTCGGTCCAAACATTCTCCTCAACACACTGTTCTCAAACACCCTCAGTCTATGTTCCTCCCTTAATGTCAGAGACCAAGTTTCACACCCATACAGAACCACAGGCAAAATTATAGTTTTTGTACATTCTAGTTTTTATGTTTTTGGACAACAGACGAGAAGACAAAAGGTTCTGGACTGAATGACAGGAAGCATTACCCAAGTTAAATCTCCTCTTAATTTCCTCCTGAATCAGGTTTCGATCTGTTATCGTTGTCACCGAATATCTGAATTGTGCCACATTTTCAAAACATCTGTTTCCTATCTTTATGTCATGATTTTGCCCTGCATTTTGGTGACGGGACAGTAACATATACTTAGTTTTCTCTGTATTATGGGCAGTTAATTCTCACCTCCTTTGTTGTTTGGGTGATCACCTGGAATTGTTGGTCTTCCAGCCTGTTTCCAGTAGACCTGAGAGGTGAGGAATGGACCACAGAGACCTCTGGTGCAATGAAACGTGAGATTGCAGTTGGATGTAGCTTCACAGATACATCCCATACACAACTCCATATCAAGATGATTTTGCCGCCCTGAAAGAATAGCTGCATCAGTTGCTTTTTCAAATTCAGTATTGGGTAAAAAATTATTTTTTTTTAATTCGCTTAGTGGGGGGTGGAGTCCAACTGGGTCCACTCGGCACGGCGGCCACTTATTGGCCTATTGTAGCCTGCCCCGGGTGATTATGATGATGAAGAATTTGGTGAAATAAAGATTGGCAGGGGAAACCGAAGTACTCGGAGAAAACCTATCCCAGCGCCACTTTGTCCACCACAAATCTCACTTGACCAGACCCGGGATCGAACCCGGGCTGGAGCTATGGCGCGACCCAGTACTGTGTAACTATAGAAGATGGTAACAGTTTTAATCCTGTTTGAGTTCAGGAGGAGATGGTCAGTGGGCAAGTTGGCTGCAGCTGTAATGCCCCTGACTTGCATTCGGAAGGTGCCTGGTTTGAATCTTGACAAGGATACCAACTATTTTAACTGAGATTTGTGTATGTTTCCTGAGTCCTTCCTTTCCTTTCCTCTCCTTTTCTCTCCTCTTGCTCCCACTTTGGAGCATAGGGCTGATTTCTGAGTTTCATTGATCATTTTTATAAACAGTAGGACTCCTTGGACGGGTGATCAGCTCGTCGTAAGGCCTCTACCTAAACACAGGATAAACGCATACAAACACCAAACATCCATGTCTTGTGTGGGATTCGAACCCAGTATCCCCGCTTCCGAGCGAAGACAGTACATGTCTTAGACAGCTACCGTGACCGGCTTTCTTGAGTCTCTCTGGGAAATTTGTGACCCAACCTTAAACTTGGCCGCAACAACATATTTCCACGTCCTTTGCATCTCAGTATTGACTACCATCCAATCATTCGATGTCACATAATATTGAGTTATTGGCAGCATTGTTAAATAAAGCACAAATAATTGAGATTATAACAGGGTAGACATTCAGTTTCAGCTATGGAGGCAAGAAATGTGTACATGATTCTTGTAGGAAAAGCGAGCTCTTTAAAAAAAAGATATTTGAAGGAGAAAGGAAATGCGAATACAATATCAGAAGAGACCGTGTGCATGAGACATGCAAATGGCGCAGGCTCTTGACCAGTGGAGACCTATAACGTTACCAGAGATAGTTCTGTTGATATGAGAACCTTACATCTATACACGAAGTCAGCAATTATTAATGCTCAATTGTTTTACTTGTGCGTAAGTGACACGGTTCAGTTTTCAGCCGAGGCATTGGGTGTAGAGATGGCTAGTTCATATTATGATGGGTATCTATTATGTCAAGTTACTCGTGGTTTTTCACAGTTACTCCAGACAATTCTTCTGTCAGGGCTACAACAGCTTTGACTTCCACCTCCTCTAATTCACAGTGCGTAATCAGCCTTCGATGCTTCATAACTTCGAAACAATTTCGCATTTTAATGGTGTAGGTATTCATGAAGTACAAGCTACATTTCTGGCATGATTCCAGTCGGTGGGTGTGAAGCATAATTCTTCAACACTTCCGTGACGCAAATAGTAGATACGTGCATGAGGATTTCCTTTTCGAGAACAATGATATGTTCAAACTTCAAACTTGCCATTTACTGATATTTTTATGATCTACTTCCAGTCAGCGATATATTGATTGATTAAACTTAACCGCTTATAGCTCTGTGTGTCACGTATCCACTCTTTAAATGCTATAAAGAAAACATATCATGTTCAGAAACATTCTGTTTTGTCTTGTTATGTTTTATATAGCCTACTTGTTATTTAACGCTGTCGGGAATGACTAGGAAGGAGAATCAAGCACTTTTTTTTTTTGCTTCTTGGGGTTGTTCTAGATATATAATTTGGATACATTT